ATGCCCAGGACTCTTTGGTTAACTGGATATACTTAGTTGCTATCCAGCCTTCCTACTAGGAGTTGCAGGAAGTTGTCCCAGGACTTGGTGCTTTTCTGAATGGCATCTGTAGCGACTCAATATACCATCTTATATCAGAAAAAGTAAAGTCTCAAAGCGCTTTGGCTTACCAAGCAGTGTCCCTTTTCTATCCTACTGGCACCCTCATGTAAGCATCTCAGGGAATCCGGGTAGTGCTTGTCAGATAATTTTGAGGGAAGGGGATGCCCCATTCTATCTTCCTTAAACCCAACACATAGGTTTTATGAAAGTTTAAACCAATACTTATAGAAATATTGAAAAGTCTTTCTTCAAAACTTCATAAATTCTGTGTCTAAAAGCCAAAAATGATGCTTTTGTACCCTCCCTAGTTCAGTGTTAAACACACAGTAGTCTTCAAGAATTCTGAAAATGGCAATTGGCAGTGTAGATTATGTTTTTGTTGTTATTTTTGTTGTTATTTCCTTGGATATGAAAGTTCTCTTGAATCCTTAATTCCTAAATCTAATCCCAATCTGAAGTCCTTGTAATAAAAAAATTTCTGTTTATTTTCCCAGGACCATAGATTTAATGTTTCTTTTTCTTTGGGAAAACCCAGAATCATTTATGATGAAGTAGCACTGTCACAAAGCCAACTCATGTCAAAGAGATAAAATGATTATGGGTATATTATAAATAATGAAACTGATTAGGGTGGAATGCTAACATGACCTCAGAAAGGTAGCATTTTCAAGGTAGTCTCAGGAATTACTTCATTAAGTATGAAATTTCAGTTAATACGCATCAAAATAGGTCTAGGTATAATCTGCAATCCACTTGTCTGCAACCACGGGTACAAAATACCTATAATACATTTCTTGATATCACTTTGGCCTTACATTAAAATTTATGTTTCCTATTTACCTTATAAAAGATTTGTTCATCTGAGAGTGATAAATTAAAGTTTTCCAGCACACAACTCCAGCTCAGGTTCTGTTTGTAAGGAAATCAAGCAATGAAATGAAGCTTATAGATCAAAATCATTTGTGAAATATCATACAGCTGGACAAAAAAGACAGATTTGAAGCCAAATTGACATGAATTTAGCCATCATATTATCTAGGCATTTCTGAACAATTTGGTGATTGAAGTGTCATTTATACAGACTCATCATTTTTGCCATTTGAACTCACACTAGAAAACACAGTCCATTGCAGGTGACATAATCAAAGTAAGGAAAGTATCTCCATGATGAGATGTCTCAAGATTCCTTTCATTACCTTCTTCCTCTAACTGTAAAGTTTCCAACATTGAAGAATCACAATGAATGTGATTGAAGTCACTGTACTCTTTATAAGAGACAAATTCACCACAGAACTCAAATACATAAAAAACCTATCACATAGCAAAAGAACACAAGTCATAGGTGATATTCACAGGTGGAAATGGTTTTGTACTTTCCCCTGCTGTTGGCATTTTCAAATAGAAGCTACATTTTGAGTATAGGAGAAATAATCCCATAGTGAGGAATAGCAACAAACAGGCAAGATCCTGAATACACTAACAGGTCATTGATGAGATTATCAAAACAGGCACTTGTTCTGATGCCCTGAATAAGTTCACAGAAATGGTGATTTCCTGGGCAGATTAGTCAGTTTTAATGTTGATGCGACCAAATACCAGGCAGAAACAACTTAAGAAAGAAAAGAATTATTTCAGCTCAGTCTCAGAGATTTGAGTCCTTAATTCTTGACACCATTGATACTGGTCCAGTAGAGGCAGAACATCTTGGCAAGTGGTAGCTTCTGGAGGAAGAGGCTGTTTTACCTCATGAAAAATAGGAAGAGAGTAGAGCCTTTGATAGGATTCCTAATGCCTGCATAACATTATCAGAAACTGACAAAGACAGCTGCATAGACCACAAAGCAGACTGTAGCTGCAGGAGCCACTGCCTCTCCCCACACAGGCATCTGCAGGGGGGAGGTTCATGCTCAGGACTGGAGCACTGCAGAGGAACAGATCATGCTGCTGGCACTGCAGTCAGCTCAACACCAGGTGTTTGACTGCTCTCCTGATGTGTACTAAAACTGCAGGGCACAGGGGTGGTCATTCTTCTCAGCAAAGTGGATATTCAGAAGCTAAAACAAGTCCTGTGTAGAGATTGGCACCAGTAGCAGGTGTAGGATATAAGGAAAGGGTATGTGAGAGTGAATATGATGAAAATAATGTACACTGATGTATGAAAGTGGAAAAATGAGATTCATTGAAACAATTCCAGTAGTGGGGGAGAAGGGATAAATGAGAATGATGGAGGGAATTAAATCAACTGTGATATATTGTAAAAAAACTTCAGTGAATGTCACAATATAACCCAATACAGTACAACTATAATAAAAAAGTACCCTAAGATAGTTTTTAGAGTACTGATCTCCATTCCCAAGAGCAAACTATGACCAAGGGCTGCAGCTGGGAGGCACAATGGAGTTTGGCTGTGTGAGCCAACATGCCTGGGTATGTATGGAATCAATCTTTTGTGGTGGTGGGCTGAGAAGGAGATGAGAGAAAGGCAGTGATGCTCTGAAGACTAGTCCAGGACTAGGAACTATAATCTCAGAAACCCAAGGAGTGAAAAAATTCTGGGAATTCTAGAAATATAATTGTTTTTTATGTGTGCTAGTATAGTAATATATAGGCATATGTTTGCACAAGCAATATAAATATATATGCATATATTACATGTACTTAAACACATATGTACATAGGCAAACTTATAGGTATAAATATACACTTTTAATTTTTAAATTTGACCATGATTTTTATTAAATGTGTATGGTATATGTAAACTCTATTTCTAATCACTATGGTGAATATTGCTATACTATAGATAATCTTTCCATTAACTGTTTCTGTTTGATGTTCCAATAAATCAACTAAACTGTATTTCGTTTATTCACATATTTTATATTTTACTTCTACGTATTCTATTTCTTTCTAAATTGTTTTCTAAGTATTTATAGTTACATTATCAGTTTTTTAAAAGTGCATCTATTTGTAGGTCTGCTTGTTTATTGTTATATCAGTCAGCTTCTCAATAATAATGGTGTAAAACAAACCACTCCAAAAGACAGTGCTCACAACACAAAGCATTTATCTTAATGCTTGTTGATGTTCACACTCACAGTTATTTGCCTGATCCAGGCAGGGCTCAGCTTAGTGGTTTTCATGCTAGTCACTGGGCTCACCTCCAGTCTCTTGATTTCTGATGTCAAAACTACTGAAAGAAAATTATGTGCACTAGCTAAACAGACACATAAAATTTGTTTGTTTTGTATTTTAATATTTCCTCAAGTTACTGAAAAGATATTAATCCATTTTACCTTTAATGGATAAGATCATTTAATTGAGAAATAATTATTATTTCAAACTTCAGCATTAAAAATAAAAATTAATTTTGTGTTATTTAAACATAAAAAACATGAATATGTTCTCAGTGTATGAATTAAATCAATTTTCTTAAAAGATCTCATTTACTGAAGTAAAAATTCCCTAAAACATAACTTCTATAATCATTTCTGGATCATTGTTATCTGGCTGAAGTGAAGACTGCCATTCAGCAGTTCTAAGGTAGGCCTTCACTTCAGCATCTGTAACCTGCTCTCAGTAATGGTGAGGTTGTTCTTGGATTCAGAACAAATTTTGGTAGCAAAGTTTTTAAAAATGTCATATCCGTGTGTGTGTATGTGTGTGTGTATGTGTATGTGTGTGTATATTTTCAAGGAAGTAATGGGCTGAGAGCATGGCTCAATTAGTTGAGTACCTGTCTAGAAATTATGAGGCATAGTTTAAACTCTATTACTGTCAAAAAAAAAAAGAAAAAGAAAAGGAAGGTCATGCAATTGCTGTAAAAATTTAATGTCATTTCTCATTTTTGTATTTATTATGTGACAATGAAATTTGTTGCTATGACTCTAGACTTAATAATAATATTTGTAAACAGTTGCAAGTGTGATCTAGAGCCATCACCAACTGACCTGTTTTTGAGTCAGGAAATAGTGATCACTTCTGACTGTCAATTACCCAGCGTCTGCATCATTCTGGAAGCACAATTGTCACTTCCCATTCTCCCTCTCTGGTTTCTGAAGAAGTTGCTCCCGAGGGACCTCTGTGAAATTTGGAAACTAAAAATGGAGTATTTTGTCCTGTCATCAGCACCTGAGTTAAGACATGGACGGAGGGGATTCTGATGACTTCAATAAGTATTGCTATATTGTGAATAAACTTTGCATTAACTCTTCCTGTGAGAAGTTTCAATAAATGACCTAAAATGTACTCTGCTCATTCACATGCTTTTCAGAGTTCTATTTTTTCTATGTAGTCGGTATTAGTGAGCTGTGAGCTGAGAGCATTAGCACCATTACCCTGGAGTTTCCTAGATAGATCTGCAGGTCTCATGGTTAGACAGTCAAAATCTTGGGTGGTAGACACACCTGGCTACTGGTGGAGGTCCAGAAAATCCCCAATTTGTAGACTCTTTTTATATTTGATTGGCAAATCCCCAGGTCTTTGAAAGGCTCACAAAAATGTTTGATCTGACGACTATGCTAATTAAACTTGATTGATTATTGCATAATGTATACGTATATGGAACATCATATTGTACACCAAGAAATAAATATGTGTCAATCAAAAATTCTTTTCAAAAGCTATAAAGACACCCATTGCTTTTTTTTTAAATCCTGCTTGATATACATAGAATGACATTTCTTTAACCTTATGAATCCAAATTGGTACCTGAACCCAATCTACTCAAGAGTACATATCTGTGTCCTTTATATATCTTTGCTTCTGTGACTTAGCAATAGGAAAGAGAGCTAGATTACAGAGAAGCCTCACTGGCCCTTCTACCAGACCCTCACAGTGATCTTGAGATCCTGGCTCGATCAAAGAAACTGTCTCAGCAGTAAGGGCACAAAGAGAAGCAGCTATGACAGTCCAGCCTCACATTTCCACTTCCCTGGGTGGTTTATGTTATGACTTGTTATCACTGTGGTTGGCTTATTATAAACCTGTTGACAGTAATAAGTTGCAATATCTTCAGGCTCTAGGCTGCTGATGGTGAGAGTGAAATCTGTCCCAGATCCACTGCCACTGAACCTGGATGGGACTCCAGATTGCAATGTGGATACAGTATGGATCGGGAGCTTAGGAGCTTTGCCTGGTTTCTACTGATACCAGTTCAATTCATTGCTAATGCCCTGACTGGTTTTGCAAGTGATGTGACTGTCTCCTGGAGATGAAGATAGGAAAGATGAAGAGTGGGTCATCTGGATGTCACATCTGGCACCTGGCATTGGAAACATGAAAAGAAAAATAATAACACGCACTTGATAATCATGTTATAAGACGACTTTCCTGAAAAGCCAGGCAGCACTATTGACAAGGCGCTGAGTATATCCCCAGCTTGCTCCTTTCTTACCTGGGAGCCAGAACAACAGGATTCCCAGGAGCTGAGCACAAACCTTCATGACCATGCTGTGTCCTGACTGGTACCAACTCCTGCACAGGATGTGACCACAGTACTGAAAAGTCCCCAGGGCAGTGAGTGGACCTTGCTTTCAGCACATGGAAATCAATAGGTACAGGGCAGAACTAACACAGCTGCTAGGATTGCTCATCTCAGTAACTGTAAACAGTCATAAGGTCTTATGTGTCTCAGTTAGAGGAGGACAGTACGTAATCATTCGGGTTTTTTTCCCTTGGAGGCAATTTTTAGTGTGTTTTCAATATTTGAAAGAGACAGGAGGACCAGATGGAATAATGTATCTCATAATTGGATTGAAACAATGTAAAAGAAGATTCTTTCTTTTTTAGATTCTTTTTTGGAAGTACCGGTGTTTTGAAGTCAGGATCTCATGTTTGTTTGGCAGATGGTCTAGCACTTGACCCACAATTCCAGTAATTTTGTGCTTTAGCTATTTTTTGGAAAGGATCTTGAATTTTGCCCAATATCAAAGTTGGACAATGGTCCTCCTACCTATCTCTACCTCATAACTTGCATTACAGGCTTGAACCACCTCCCCCAGCTTCTTCAGTTTGATGTGGTTGACATAAATTTTTGCACCAGCTGGCCTTGAATAGAAATCCTCTCAATCTATATCTCAGTTACCTGGGATTATAGGTGTGAACCACCAGCTTAGCCTAGAGAATATTCTTGTTTGTAGGAAATGCATAATAAAGTCTAATACAAAGGAATATAGTGCTTTAGCTCATTCTTAATTCAGTATGACTGGAAAACATTTTGTGTTGTTCATATAATATAATAGGAATTACAAATTGATTCATTTGTTTACATTAAAAATATCACCTATCAGAAGTGGTTTTTTCACCTTTACAGTTCAATTTACTATATATGGAAATCACTTGGGTTTTATATTTTCAGTTAAATTTTGAACTAAGTTTGCAATATATAAAATAGATTTTACATTAGTTCAGTACTTTTTAGTGTACCAATTTGAAATACATAGGTTCAAATTTCATATTTAAATGAGTCCTCAAATATAACACAGACATGTCTTAAAGTTACTATATTATTCAAATGTGATATTTGCAGCTCAGCACCTTCATGTACAACAGCTCTGTTATGGAGACGGCAAAACTGATGCCTGTATAATCAAGCAAAAGATTCAAAATTGTACCATCTTTAAAAAGGTTTGGCATTTCTTTGGACCATAACAATGCACAACCTAAGAACATAGGGAACACTTCCTCCTCCATGTTACAGTTTTAAAAAGTTGCATGGTTGCCTCAAGTTTTCATAAAACCCCATATTATACCTCGGAAAATTCAAGGAAAATTAGATGACAATAAATTGGAGTCCTAAATTCTTTTTTCATTTAACAGAATCCATGATATTAAACAGGTGTTGATCAAATAAAAATACTAAGCACCTATTGGTTTGTGAATGAAATTAGAGGTTCACAATCAATTTTTCTATACCTTGAAATCAAGGTTTGAAAACCAACTATGTAAGTGCATTACAAACTTCTCCTGTGTAGCACAGGTAGAATTTTCTGTCCATTGGAACCAAAGTAAAGTCACATTTCCTCTTGGGAGACATAAATTCCACATCTGAACATAGAGCAATTTGGGAAGAAATGACCACTGTGATTCTGAGATTTAAGATTACTAATATACTAGTAGTGAACAAAGCAAATTCCTGGCGAAACTGTCAGGTTAGTGATGTTAACTCCCTTTCCCATCTACCATAAAATTCTAGTATGAAAATAATTAAAAGTAATTACTAAGTTGAACAAATGTGATATAATAGGAAACTAAGGGAATATTTCAAACTAATAACAACCACAAAATCCTAAATTTGAAATCACTGCAATAGTGAAATTAAAGAAAGCGTACTTCCCTCATCCCTTCTCCATTCTGCAATTTTATTTTCCTCCCAAAGTTTATTCAATGTATTTCATAGAATTTTCCATGTCAGCCAAACTTGTGATTTAAAGATTTACTAAGATACTTATGCATTATATCTATACAAAAACACTTATTAACTGTTACACTTGGTTTATGCAAGATTAACATCTTGGTGATAAAATTGTTAAAACATCATGATTAGTGCATATTAACTCTTCATAACAAATCTGAACAAATCTGAACTTCACATTAATTTGCCAAACACTTTAAATTACTAATTAAATAACTGAAAAATGTTCAGAGTCATACTAAACCTAAATGGGCTAAAAGAATAATAACCTTCAAAACAGACCATACACACATCTATTTTAAAACTACCTTTGCCAGCTAGTGCCTTTCCCAATGTTTTAGGCTGAAAAAAACAGTAACACTACACAAAAATTTATTGCAATCGTGCAAAGTTATATCAAGTCAAATACAACAGGTATTATGATGCAATTTCACATTTGTTAAGCTATAGTTCAAAGCACAAATTTATACATTCTAAATACACCAAATTTATCTAATGAAGTCACAATGGTCTTCCAATGACATTTGATATATCTGGGTGAAAGACATTAACTTTACAAGACTTTTTAACAGGAATTCTTAGTATAAAAACTGTGTACTTGTATATAAATGGTATAATGGGGAACCAAATTAATAGGCTTTCATCTCCACTAAGTCATCCATTTTGTTGCATATTTTATTTTAAATGCTTAAGTTGTAGAAGAAACTGGTATTTTAATCTGGATACATTATTTAAATCTACCATTACTGCCGATGAATTATAGATCAAGCTGATTTCCTCTGGTCCCAAATAGCTATTAGTATTAATTTTTGTTTCCAAGAGAATGGCAGAATAGATTCATTTTTTTCCACACTGGAAGGTAGATGAGACAAGCTTAACCTGCTACTTCAGACCTATGGAAGCATTAGTGCTCTATCAAACTTCAGTGGAAAAGCTGTTTTCTTGGCTTTGTTTTATGCAAGCAGGTACAAAGAAGAAGTTCTTCACCATTGTGTCTGAAGTAGTTCCAGCATCTTTCTTCTCATATCAATGATTGAATAACATCATAGAATAAATATCTGGCCTCTAAAAAATTAAAAGCAGGTTTATGGAAACAAACTGCTCCCGTGTTATCAAAGATAGGTCAATCTCTCTCATTCAGCTCAGGAAGAACCACAATTTGATTAAGCTCATTACAGGATGGATCCCAAAGACTGCTTGTAAATAAAGGCTCATCTTCCTTGTATTTGTTTTAAATCTCTGGAATTGTATTTAAGTCCTCAGACAGCTTATCTGCAAAAGATATATAATAGCTTCCAGGTTCTGCTTTTCTTCCCACATCAACCCTTCAACCTGTGGGTATTTCTGCTCAAGGTAATTGCATCTCTCTTTAAAAATTCCACCAAAAAAAAGAGAAGAATCTTTACCCAACATTTTGAGCCATATCTTGCTGTTCTGAACAAGTATACAAATACCCATGGGCATAAGAGAAGTTTTATTTCAATGCTGAGCCATCCTGGGAACCTAGCTGATGATGGGGGTCCATCTCCTAACTTGTCCATTTTGTTACATAGTCTAACAACCCAGACACAGGTTTGTTGGTTCATCTTTAATTATTACTGGTTTATGACTTTCAACTTTGTGGAATATGGCTGAGATGAATATGGTTTGATGATGCAAACTACTCCATTGACATGTTGGATAAAGGAACAAACCTTGGAAATTATATTGATAACTATGTTTGTGAACATACCCTGATGGAAAAATATATTTTTTTGTGGAGGATCTTGGAAAGACTGTGAAGAAACACAGTCACTGGCAGAATGAGGTGGCCTAGACAAAGCCACTTTACCCAGGGAAATACAACTATACTCCAGTACTTGAGATTTTGGGAGCCCTTGGAACTGGATTTGCTTGTTATAAAAAAATGAGATGACTTTAGTGCAAAAATTTGGTGTATCTCCAGAAAATATCATTTATATAAGTTCTTCCAAGGAAGTTTCTTAGATAAAGTATGCAACAAAAGTTGTAATAAAAATCATGACATGTGACAATGAAATTGAATTAAAGAAAACAGGGTATAATCACCCAAATGCCAAGGTCTTACTACATATTACAACAGAAGATGATTTTGGAGATGAAGAGGGTAACATGTAGTTTGGCACTACACTGAATAACTGTAGGCATCTTTTGGAATGTGCTAAGAACTTGATGTCCAAATAATAGTGGTTAAATTTCTTGTTTCAAGTGCTTGCAAAGAATCTCAAATATTCGTACATGCTCTATCTGACACGCGATGTGTTTGACATGGCTGGAGAATTTGGATTTACAATGAACATGTTAGACATTGGTGGAGGCTTCACAGGAACTGAATTTCAATTAGAAGAGGTTATCATGTTATCAGCCCTCTGATGGATATCTATTTTCCAGAATGTTCTGGCATTAAGATAATTTCAGAAACTGAAAGCTACTATGTGTCTTCTGTAGAAGTGTGTTTAATGCATTCAAAAGCACTTTGGAGGAAGTTGTGGTGGTGTCTGCCTATATTCACATGAATTCAATAGGTAGAGGTTTGAGCCTCAGGAATACAGACCAGTGAGACAAACATCAGTGACACCCTAACTCAAAAACCAAATTTCTAAAAAATGGATTGAGAATGTGGCTCATGGTGTAGGATTTGCCTAGCAAGTATCCAACTCTAGACCCAATCCTCAGTAATGCAAAAAGAAGGTTCTTTGTAGTTCCCTCAGCATAATCATTTCAATAAAGTGAAGCAACATACCACAAATGTACAGAGATTAAATCATAATTCTGTATTCACAATTGCATCTTCAACAAAACTACAGGTCTCTTTTATGCCCAGTGACTACTTGAGCTGCATCTTATTCTCAACTTAGCATTTCCTATATTCTGTCCATTTGGGGCCAATTGTTTTATCAGCATAAAGGGCTAACTAGTGATACTAGACCTAATTACTTCAACAAAAATCACTATTAGATAAGACATGTTCCTGAGATGTGCTATAAAGGCCACTGTCTTGTTTTATTCTTCAGCAGT